GTGGTCAACGATGAAGGTCACAGAAGCATTGCAGACACCTTTCTCTGCCATTCCTGCCTCGCTCCAATTCCTGCCTTGGTGTCTTACGGCTTTTGCCTTTCCCTGCTCAGGATGACCACAGATTTCCATCATTCCTATTTTTGAACAAATAAAGAGATATTTTTACAGTTGTTACTTACCGCTGTTATTTTTCTGGTCCATTTAGCGCTGGGGAAAGGCAGACCTTGGAGAATGAATCCTGTGTGTATGCCCAGAGAGAGTGAGTTCGGCGCTCGTGGCCTGTTCAGTGCCTCAGCCTTTTTGCTGATTGCAAGTAGGGGGGAAATAGAGACGTGGACTCCTGTTTTGCTAGGAAGTAGGTCCCGCCTTTACTCATTTCCCAGCAAATGACTTCCCAATGGGAACAGCTTTCAGTCCCAACTGCTGTATGGGAGATTTGAAACATTGGAATAATTGTCCTTGAGGTAAAGGGCCCTTTATCTCATTCCCTACTCTAGCCAGCTAACCAGTCTCCCCGCTTGGAGTTACATTAGAGGCTGGTGATGTACAGGGGAATAGGTCATATCCCATTTGCTGCTCCTCCAACCAGCCCTTCCAACCTGTAGGTAGATTGGAACGCAGTAGGGGAAAAGACCCATATCCTATTCCCCCGAAGCATACCAGTCCCCCCAACCTGGGGCTGGGTTAAAACTAGTGCCCTAGAGTTGAAGCGCTCCATCTTCCAATCCCCATATCTCCTAGATGTTGCAGGGACTGGCGGGGTCAGGCTGGCTTTCAGAGGCAGGAATGGAACCCAGAGTTTTTATATTACACTCGCCTACACAGTTGAGCTCTGAACACAATACAAGTGTGTATATTTTTTTCCCGTGCAGCTTACATATTTTAAGTTTCTTCCCCTCACCCCATATGGAGATTTTGTTGTGGCGGTTCATTTGGTTGCTAAATCAAGCCAACGAGTTGCATTTTGTTTTGCATACAGTGAGGTTCATGGTCAGGGTGTGAGTGTCACAGTCATGGGATGGCTGGGGAGAAAGCTCTGTCCAACAAGGCCACAAGTCTCATCTTTGAGGCTGAGTCATGACTCCCTCTAACTACTGGACCCCATTCCCCTGACAGAGCCAGGGGTGGAACCCAGGAGTCCTGACTCCCAACTCCCTCCCTTCCCAGTCCCCTGCTGTAACTACTGCTCCCCTCCAGACTCTATGCTTTACACTATTGCGTGAGTCTAGTGCTTCTTACATACAGATATCCCCCTCTGAGACACCCCAAAATCTCTCAGAGACACCCCAGTATACAACCTTGGGAGACCTCATGATAGGAACCTTGAGTGGCCCCTGATATCTCCCCTCAGAGACTCTAATACCTCCGTCAAAGACCACCCCAACACCCACGTGAGGGCTTCCTGAAAGCTCCTCAGGAACTCCTAGCCCTACTAAGGACCCGCAACCATGGATCCCCAATATTTGCTTCAGAGACCCCCTCAAAAGCTCCCTGAGTGCCCAACCCCTCAAAGATGCACCCAATATCCCCAGTGAGGGGCCTCTAATATTCCTCCATGGACCCCAACCTCCTCAAACAACCCCCAAATCCCTTCCGAAGGGGTCCCCAATGTCCTCCTCAGAGTCTCTCCAATAGCCCCCCAGGGGGGCCACAATATTCCCTCAGGAACCTCCCCCTCCCCTCCCCCTCGAGCTCCCTCCATTGTCAGTTAAAATCGTTAAACTGCCCCTCCCCCACCCTGTGGAACTCCTTCCTGCAGTGCAAGGCAGAGGGAGGAGGGGCAGTAACGGCCCCAACAGGGTCAAGAGGGGGCTGACTGGGGGGGGACCCATTGGGGTAGCCTCTTGGGGGGGGTCCATGAGCAGGAATATTGGGGTTCTTAGAGGGGTCTGTTTTGTGGGTTCATGAGGGGATGATACTGGGAAACTAAGGGGGCTATTTAGCAGCTCTGAAGACTATATTGGGGAGTAAATGAGGAGAAGGCATTGGGGGCCCTAAGGCAGCTATTTAGGCAGTCCCTGAGGGGGTTATTTTGGGGGTGCAGGAGGAGAGACTAGGGGGGCCTAGTGAGGGTATGTTTGGGGTCTCAGAGGGGTGAGTATAGGGGGATCCATGAAGGAGGATAGTGAAGGAGTCTTTGATAAGGGAATTTTGGGGGAACCCCTGAGTGGGATTTGTGGGAAGGGGCTTAAAGAAGTGTCTCAGAGGGGTCAGTATTGGGGGAGTCCATGCGGGGAGGTATTGGGGTGTCTCTGAGAGGTTAATATGTGGGGATCTATGAGGGCAGATATTGGTGGAATCCATCAAGGGAAAATATTGGGGGTGTCTCTGGGAAGTCAATATTGGGGAATTCTTGGGAGGGATATTAGGGGGACCCTAAGAAGGGTATATTTAGGGGTCTCAGAGGGTTCAGTATTGGGAGTCCATAGAGGAGGGTAATGGAGGGGCTTTTGAGGGGGGAATATTGGGGGATTCCCTGAGCAGGATATATCGGGGTGGGATAGTGGGGATGAGGAGGTTCCTGAGTGGGATGACAGATGCAAAACAGGGGGGGCAGAACAAGAGGGAAAGGAAAGAGGCCAAAACAAGAGGAGCTGAGAGGAATCTGTCTACATTTAAAAAAAAAGAGGATTGGGGGAGAGTTTGAATTCTTCCAGAAATAGAAAAGAGAGAACTCTAGAGAGAAAAACAAAATGCAGAGAAAATGAAACAGTGAGAAATGGAGACAGATGGAGGTGAAGCAGACCACACAGAGAGGGGAAAAGAAACAATACAGTATATCAGAGTGAATGGATCTAACGGATTCCTCAATTTAACTGCACGTACAATGAAAATACACATAATGAAAGCATGTATCTGTCTCCATTCCTAGACCTTAAGGCTTTGTCTACATTCAAAGGCTTTGTCTACAGGGAAAAGTTTATAACGATATAGTTACACAGTTGTATTTATATCAGTATTACCCCCTGTGTGGACACTAAGGCTATGTCCACACTGCGCACCTTACAACAGACTCAGCTGTGCCACTGCAGCCATGCCATTGTATGGTGCGCTATGTGGCTGCTCTTTATCTCTCTCCTGGCTACAAAATAAAACCACCCCCAACGAGGCATGGTAGCTTCATTGACGGGAGCGCGGCTCCTGCCGACAAAGTACTGTCCACACAGGTGCTTTTCGTCGCTAAATCTTTTGTCGTTTAGGGGGGTGTTTTTTCATATCTCTGAGCGACAAAAAATTTAGTGATGAAAGTGTCAGTGTAGACAACGCCTTAGACCTTGTCTACACTAGAAAGGGTTTGCAAAACGAGAGTTCTTTTGCTGGTACAGTTTATATACCAGTTCCCCAAAATGAAATAAAGCTATAACACCAAAACTTTTAAGTGTAAACCAGGCCCTATTCTAGGATAAGAGTGACCTTTTTTTCGGTTCAGTTTACACTCCTTCCCAAGCAGCATAAGCTAAAGTGAAAAAAGTACTCTTGTTCTGGAATAAAAGGCCTGGTCTACACTAAATAGATATGTCAGCACAGTTATATCAGCTAGGAGGGTGGAAAAATCACACTCGCAGCCAACATAGCTATGCCAGCAAATCCCCTAGTGTTGACACAACTATGTTGACAGAACAAAGTTTCTATCAGCTTAGCTAATGTCGTTCAGGGAGAGAGTGAGTATGTCTACACTACAGCAGCACAGTCACGCAGTGCCGTACTAATGTATATGCTTCTTACAAGATGGAAGGGGGGGTTTCATTGATGTAGTTAATCCATCTCTCCATGAGACATTAGCTAGGTCAATGGAAGACATGGGCAGAGCGTCCACATGGTCTGTTATACTGCTTAACCATTCTGGTTGAAATTCACACCTTAGTTTATACCAAAAGAAAGTTCCCATATAGACAAGGCCAAAGTTGCACCTGTTTAAATCAGTTGAAATGTAATTTAAATTTTAAATTTAAACCAGTTTAAAAATTGGTTTAGTGTTTGTCTACACAGTTTTTATAGCACTTTATCAGTTTGAAATCAGACTAGTTAAAGTAGTACACCTTCCTAAAGTGGGTGCAGTTATTCCAGAATAAATGTTTTATACCAGTACAGTTGATTCCTGTAAATTCATGGGAATAAGATATACTGACACAAGTTGAAGTTATACTGGTATAAATGTATCCACTCTAGGGTTCATACTATTTCAGTGAATGAAAAAATGTTACCCCTAACCAAAATAGTTAAATCAGTACAAAAACTGTGTGTAAACCAGGCCTCAGTTAGACCAATGCAAAACAAAGTATGGACCCTCTTAATCTGATTTAAACCTGGTGTATATATATATATTTTTTAAATTAATTCCTTACTGAATTAAGATAAACTGGTATGAAGGCAGGTTTAATTAGAATTAAGAGTATTCACACTGTGATTTGTATCAGTTTAACTAAATTGGTTTAAAATTAGATGTAAACACCAGCACAACTTTGAAAGCAGAGCATAAGAAGCTGCTCGCTTTCCCTCCATACATACCCCTATAGTATTTATCTATCCATCTACATTTCTACATTCTAGTGTATTTCTTCCTAACCCATCTCTCTCTGGTATTTCAGGGACCAGTGACCGCAGCATCCAGTTGCCAACCTCTCACGACTTTTCTACACACAAACTGGAATTGAAATAGCTTCCTTTTTGTTATTTCAGTGTAAATCTCTGTGTGTGGTCACTCTTTATTCAGATTAAGAACGTCCTATTTTGATTTAACCTTCCCCCAAATGAGGGATAGAAATATAGGCCTGGTCAATGCAAAGCAGCTTACGTTGACCTAACTATGGAAGTGTCTACACTTAAATTTCGCTCCCATCGATGTAACTTGCCCGCGACGCCAACTTAGTCCTGGTCTATGCTAGAGAGGGTATGTCTACACTAAGAAATTAGGTCGATTTTGTAGAAGTCGATTTTTAGAAATCGATTTTATACAGTCGATTGTGTTTGTCCCCACTAAGCGCATGAAGTCGGCGGAGTGCATCCTCACTACCGTGGCTAGCATCGACTTACAGAGCGGTGCACTGTGGGTAGCTATCCCACAGTTCCCGCAGTCTCCGCTGCCCATTGGAATTCTGGGTTAAGCTCCCAATGCCTGATGGGGCAAAAACATTGTCGTGGCTGGTTTTGGGTACATGTCGTCAGTCGC